ATCTCAGTTGAACGCCATGCCTGTGTCTTCTTCGCCGTTCTGTTGGCCTTGTTCGAACTGACTTGCGCCGTTTGCGTACCGCCTGGTGAGCAGGATGAAGGTCCATGGCTTTGTTAAGTGTGCCATTCGAAGACCAAATTTCCAGCAGAACTGTAGCCATCTTGTAATTAGCTGGGCCTATTACCCTTGCATTGTTGAGGGCGAGAGTGTGTTTCTTCTGCTGTACGTGTTCATAGACCGTAGACCGCTTGTCCTTGCGGTTGAGTGCGAGCTAATACTCATGTAACCTGTGGCCAAGGCGTCTGCCCGTTTCACCGGCATACATTGCGTCGCAGTCTTGAAATAGTATACTGTTAACCACGGCTGACTGTTCTGTTGACGGCAGCTGGTCTTTGGGCCTCATAATTTGATGTCGGTTGGTTGATTCCGGCTTGTGAGCCACACCGATCCCGAATGGCTTCAGTTTTCTTGCGGCCGCCTCTGATACGTTCTTCACATAAAGAATAGCGAGCCAAAGCTTGGGGCCTTCTCCTTTTTACCGCCAAAGTGGGGCTTCTTAAGACTCTTGCGTATGAAGGAATTTGGATAACCGTAGGCTTCAAAGAGGGCATGCAAGTATTTAACCACCTCCTTCCCACTGTCGTCCCACGGTCATCTTTACTCCTCCAGCACCAAATTCAGATATCGATTTCCGAGTCAGAAGCCCGTGAACTTATGAACATACGGAAGATGAAGGATATTGTAACCCTGCTGATGGATGAGGATTCGTATGTGCCATCGACGGACAGCGAGTTCAATGAACTCAAAAACGCCATCGAGGTAGACAGGAGACCCGACAAGAATGGGAACGCTGGCTGCAAAGGCCACGGATGCTGCAATATCACGTTTCTATGGCCTACCAAAGGTGCGCAAGTCAGGGGTGCCCTAACACCCCATCGTATCTCTACGTTGCGCTCCAGCTTTTGGTTTGTCAAAGTGGCTGTACCAGCGGCTACGCTTCCTTGCTGAGGATTAAGAGTAGACGGTGAAGTCTGCTAAGGAATTTTTGACCCGCATCCAACACTTGGAAGTGAAGGCAGACGAGGTGATGGTATCAGAATGCATGGCTCCGTCACTGTGACTTACGAGAGACGAAACGCATTACGAACTATCGATCCCCAGCGCGGTCAACGTCTAGAAAAAAGGGTTGATGATGTAAAGTCTAACTGTTGAGGACACACCCTACTTCCCATTTTAACAGGAGCTCGTAATACGACCCACCGCTTTGATACTTCCGCTGCGATGACGTCTGCATAAGTCAACCCATTTCGTTACCCAGATGCAACAGCGTGCCTCAAGGTAAAGTGTTCTGGACCAAGAGGTTGCTCACCGCTGATTGCGAAACATTCGTGTGTACTTTTGTCCAAGAAAGCTAGCGTGTACTTTTCATCCGTAAAATACAAGCATCTGCTGCTTGTCCAAAGGTCTATGGAATAGAGACACGTCA